TCCTTGATCTGTGCCAATTCAGTGCCCGCCTTTATGCTTCCAAGCATAAATGGCAGATTTTTGAGGTGCTGCCATTTCTGTATCTGATGCAGATGTATAGCTGTGGTATGGGGAAACTAGCAGGATTTTAACACCTATGAATTACAAAAACAAGTCAATGGCCAAGCCAAAATACACATTCAATATCCCCAGCAATTGTGCCTTAAGTGCCTCTGAGCATGCCAAATCAGTATACGAACAGTTTTCAATGCTTTTCTTATGTTTCTTATTAAATTAAAACAATGAGGCCGAAGTACAAGCTATTGGGCTCTAGTATTTTAAAACATTTACAGAACATAATTAAAAATGATTTCTAAGTAAAACATTCAATTTGTTTGAATATATTTCAATTAGAATTACGTTTCCTCTACTACCAGTGGCAATTTAGCCTCCATTCCTTAACAAACTCCACTGAAACAGGAAGAAGAGAAAGGCTTAAAACTATCACAAAAACTATTTAACTGAAACAACCCCTGGGATGTGATATGCAAATGCACCCTTCAGTCTCTACTTAACCCCAAGTTTGTTTTAAATACAACTGTTGTGAGAAAGATGCCCACTTAAAGAAGGGATGAAGAGGTCTGGACGATGCACAATGTCTCTTTTATTGGCATGCACAACTACAGTGTTCACTGGGCTCCTCCCCAACGGGATGCAGACAAGCCCCAAAAGTTATATTCCCTCTGAAATGATCCACAGGAATTACAACAGCAGTGTAAATTATAACATAACCTTTACAGCAGGAACCCAATACCAACATGGGGTGCTTACTATGGGCTGACCAGGAGCCTCTACGTACTGCTCTTCTAAGGAGACACCAAGCTCACCCTTTCTACTGATATCAGCACCATCTAACATAAACAATGTCCTTTATTGTACTCATATGTTGACTCCCTTCATACTAAGGAAAGGACACCCTGGTTTCTATTGTCTATCTTGTTCCCCTCCAGGGTCACCAGGCACTTTCTGTTTGCCTGTTCCGCCTGCTCTGCAACTCAAAACCCGTCACCATGATTGTGTATGTAAGGATACAATATTATTTGTTCCTCACGTTACTATCCATTTCCAAACAAAATGTATTTCTTCATCAGCAAGGAATGCTATTGCCCAAGCATCAAATTCTCTAGACTAAGACTTCATTCTACAATGTATCACCACAAGTTCTAGGTACGTGATTTAAAGAACAGTTGCCTGTGCCATCAAACTCCATTTTAGGCTTGACTTCAGCTGGTGTGGTTGTGAAGATGGTGTTTTATTTTGCTTTTTCCTGATCTGATCCCAGCAATGAAGTGTGTGTGTGTGTGTGTAAGCATGCATGTATATGCATGTATATGTACTTCTTTCAAGTACTGTACACATACATTCTTCGTAAAAAGAATCAGAGCTGCAGGAACACAAAGGTTTGGAGGGCATTTATTTCAGCAGTGGAAATTGCAACTTCTCCCACTAGTCTCTCTGTGCATTCCCTCTGCCTGAATTCCCTGCCTTTCTCATGCACCAGTCAGCTCAGATCTGGTTCCATTCCCATTCATATTCTCAGTTACATGTATGTTTCTCATCTCACAACTTATGTATAAGGAAGCAAACTCCAGCAGTGAGTTCACCTTGGACAAAGAACATAAAAACTGTGTGGTACACAAGGACTCTGTACAGGTGGATCAGAGGATTGTGAGGACTGATAGAGAGAATAGGACATCATGATCTAGAATCCCTACTTTCCACATCATGGGTACTTTTCTTATGAATAGTGTGTCCCTCGCTATAGGGACAGATAATTTAATTAATGAGGCCTTCTTTCCTATAATTCAGTGTTTCTTGACCTTAGCAACTTTAAGATATGTGGACTTCAACTCCCAGAATTCCCCAGCCAGCCATGTTGAAGTCCAC